ACACAGAGATGGTCAACGACGATGGTCACCAGTAACTCCAGAGGAACTACAGCATCTGCAAAAAGATATAAAATCGCTACTTCAATTTAAAGGATTAAATTCAATATTACAGTCACAGCAAAAACTTTATTTTCGCTAGCAAATTTTTGGTGTCCCAGATGTTGTTATATTTCAGGAAACTTGTCCGTTGCTCATGAATAATTAAAGTCGAGGATAAGGGCTATAACTCACTTAGCATTCTGGCTACACTTCAGCCGCGGAAACGCGTTTTACGACTTAATTGGTCACATCTTCGGAGATGTTTTTCAAAATAGAGCGTTATAAATAGTATTTTTACTAGTCATAATCTGATTAACTGGAAAGCGCTACATTTATGTTCTTTTTCTTTTAAGAAATAGTTGATACAGTAAGTGTGGAACATTTTATACGATAGACTTTAAGTTGAGATCGCAAGAAAAAGGGCGTGCATCGATCGGTGGGTTTGACATTCGCATCACGCAGTATGCAGGCTTCTGCGGGTCGCCATGGTAACGAACTGTGATCTCCTAAACACATTGCCACAAATAATATTGGAAATATCGAAAAAGGTTGAGCGATTAATCATTTTAAGTAAGACAGAAAATGTTTTAATATTAATATTTAATAAGTGTTACAGAACCATCAATAACATTTATTTCAACTTAAATTCTAAAAAAAAAGAAACACTAATGGAAAATTACATAGGTTCTTGTCTTATTTCTAGATCCGGACAAAATATGGAGCAACTTCACGTCAAGAGGGTCGCTGTAAAGATGTCAAAATTGTACTAGAGTCGTAGACAATTCTATGCTACGGGAACATTGGTGTTACCTAATTAATGTTACCTACTTCATTCTATTTTAGATTTTAAGAAACATAATTAATAATAAAATAAAAAATCATGTTGTAGACAAACAAGAGCAAAACGATTAAAACCAAAATATAACGTATTAACTATTTTATAAGAAAAAAAAACTGTTATCGATACTGTACTTGAAAATTTACTGTCAACGTTTCTCTAACAAGCGGGCAATAAGCCAATTTATCATTCAATGTCAAGAAGCTTTCAGTGAGCTGACTGTATTTAAAAATAAATCACTTTTTTAACTAAACGGATATCCGATCCAGCGAATTAAGGTTTTTCTCGTTAGTTATAGTAATAAAAAATTTTCAGAGAAAGCTCTATGAAAAATAATGTTTGTAAAGATAAAAATTAATAAGTTATTGAGAATCCTTAGAATTGCATTTTCTGTTTAAGAGCAATTAAAAAAACTGTTAAAACTTCACTGTATACATCATCTAGGGTAAAGTAGACTAATAAAAAAAATTAAAAAACTCACCATATTTTCATACGAACAAAATCTAAGATAGGGTCTAAAAGTTAATTTTATTCAACTCAAATTTAAAAGCATAAAACCAATAAATCATTACCAGGGTTATTAAAAATAAAAGCGTGAGAAATAGGAAGCAGTAGTGCACCCCGCGGCGTCACCCGTGTTCCCGGGATATTAATAGCTAACGGGAAGCCGGGACGTCGCCTTCCTAAACGCTTATTGTTTACCTCAGCGGCTTTCAACCCTTGCACTAACAAACATTCTACCAACAATAATATATACAGCGAAGGTACCAACGAAATTTATTTATTCAAATCTATTTTTTGCCATTGATCATTTTTCATTAACAGCTTTAAGTCGATATTAGAAGGATTTCCTTTAAAATCGTAGTTCTATCTATACTTACTATTATAATAAAGCGTAAACACACACTTCTTTGTTGCCCAAGATGTCAGCAATTACAGCATATTTTTGAATAATTATTTTTTAACAAAAAGCCCTACACTTAAGTCACGCTTTAAGCTATATATTTACACGCTATTAAACTTAGGGGTAAATATTTTTGGATAAAAACTCTAATGGGGGAAAGAGACCATTAGTTGCTGCCAACATCAAGGGAGCATGATTGCTAAGGTTTGTCATGTCATGTCATTTTGACAATTACAATTAATAATTTGACAAATGCAAACAATTAAATTAAATTTTTATAATTTCATGCGGGTGAAGTCGCATGGGAACAGCTAGTATTAAATATTAAAGATAGATAAGTTGAAAACATACAAAAGACTTAAACCTAACGGCATTTAAAAATTGTTCATGTTCAAAAGAAAGGTAAGCAAAAACATTGAAGATTATGAACACATACCACTTAGTGGTTGTTACTCTCGGCATTGTATTTTGTGATATGCTTCAATCTACTCTTATTAAAACATTATGTAAAATTGTTAAACTAAAAACCAAACGATCATCTCTACGAGATCTTAAAACAACGTCGTACACCTGTAAAATTCGTAATTGCAATAATACAAAAGTAATAAAAAAGTTAGTATTTTGTTTTATCCACTTACCTTTAATGGCAATAGCAAAAAGTTTTCCAAAAACCATAAAACTTGCGCCACTTCAAAGTCTTATTTAAATAACGAAAACTACAACGGCCCCTATATTTGAAAATTCTGCTGTCAAATAGATTACCCACTTTTTGAATTATTACAGGATAGTATTGTAAAAAAATCAAAGAAGAATTTTAAATTACCGTGCGAGGCAATCTACGTAATTTCTAATGTTTACATTAACAGCTGTTTTATGTAACGTCCACAACACCGCCCTACAAGCAAAGTACACGAGATCACTGAGCCTATGCCCTAACCAAAAACCACGAATAAATACGCAATTTCAGAGCGTGGTGAAATAAATGGTTGTACTTTATTATCGTGCCATCTAGTGGCGAATAGCAACATTAAAAATAGTCTGTACTTTTAAGAAGTCATAATAGATGGCAACTTTCAACATTAAACCAATGACATTAAACACTCTGAGAACTCAAAGTTTAAATGAAGTAACCTAATATTATATTTACCAAATCCCAATGCTATATTTTAAGGAAAAGAAGTAGTGAATAATATTTTAAGTAAAAAGGATTTTATGTTTTCTTTTTCCACAAATTGTAAACTGACAGCATATGTCAGATTGACATTAATCGTCTTTTTGTTTATTTCTGTTGTTTTTAAATTTTTAAAGTAATCAAAAAAATATTAAAATTACAAGTTTCCGTCTTTATTTATTATTTTCAGGATACTATTTTTTAGGATTTATGAAACCGAAAATGGTTAAAATATGGAAATTAGGTCTTGTCAGTTACGATACCTCTTTAAAAATTCAACAAGCTCTTGCGAAGAGACATTTCAATGCTTTGAGGAATGGTAATAGTATTAATAACGATACTCTTCTACTAGTCGAACATAAACCTGTCTATACTGTTGGTAAGAATTTTTAATATTAATCATATAGATTTTAAAACATTGTATTATAACCTTGATGGAGCATTAAAGATGCTTTTTAATCCCTAAATGAACTGTTATTTCCAGGTATAAGAGATGAAACGCCCGCAGACGAAATAACAAGACTACAAAGTTTAGGTGCTGAATTTAGGAAAACCAATCGAGGGGGTCTAATCACATTTCATGGTCCAGGCCAATTAGTTGTTTACCCAATTATCAACTTAAAAAATTACAAAACTAGTGTTAAATGGTATGTGAAGAGCTTAGAAGAGACTGTTATCAAACTATGTGAAGAGTTAGGTAAGTAATAGAAATTACATGGGCTTTAGTAATATTTTATGCATATGAATGTAAATTGTTACATAATGCAATAAGAAGCGATTTGTGTATAGTATAGTTTTTCATATGAGTGCTTGATATTTTTCGAATTAACTTTAAAGACATTTATTTTATCTGTGGCTGTGATAAATCTTACCCAAGGACCTAAGGATAATTATGTCAAATGATTTTTAACAGACTATAGAGGAAGTTTAAGAGTAGCCCCAGTGATTGAGAAATTAAGGAGTAAAAGGTTAGCATAGCATGGGCATGTTATAAGAATTGATGAGTCGCTTGTAACAAGAAGGATGTTATCGGTGTAGAAGTACACCAGTACAGGTAGACCTAGAAAGAGATGGTTGGATTGCATGAAAGGTTACATCATCAAGAAGGGAGTGATGACTGAGATAACAGATGATAGAGTTATTTGGAGGAGAAAACCCGGTGCGCTGAACTTATGGGACTAGGGTAAAGTAAGGGAGATGACAATGATGATTTCGTCTGATTATAATGTTGTAGTTTAAAATTTTTGTATTTGAATAACATGACTTACACCTACAACCTTGAGTTCTTGATTTGTTGATCATCTGAGTGTTCACATTTCTTATATGCCACGATTACTTGTTTTTTAAAAATAAATATTTGTCATTGTTTTTTTTTCCAGGTTTGGAAGCGAGTAGATCTCCATACACCGGTGTCTGGATTGGTGACAATAAGGTTGCAGCTATCGGAATACATGCCTCAAGATATGTTACTACTCATGGAATATCACTGAATTGTGATAATGATCTGTCATGGTTTAACCATATTGATCCTTGTGGTATTGAAGATAAAGGTGTAACTTCTCTGAGTCAAGAAACTGGTACAACATTCACTCCAGAACAAATAACCCCCTTGTTACTAAATAATTTTGAAAAAGTTTTTAATTGTTCCTTAGAAGATATTGAAACCGATGTACAAGAAGATATACTAAATGGTGTTTATAACAAATTAATGCTTGAATCTGTTGAAAGTTAATGAAAACTACAATATTGTATAGATAAATTGTAAAATAGAAACTCAAGAATGTATTTATTGTTATGTTTATAAAATTTATAGGTGGAAATTAAAAAAAAACGGTAAATTTGTACAATTTTATTTCATTTATGCAATAAAGTTAAAAAAATAAATAGTATATTAGTCTAAATAAGTTACGAAATCTCAAGTTGGGTTAAGTGAAATGCTGGTAAATGTGACTTGGAGTATGAATTTAATTGTTAATGTCGATCATTATTATATTTCCTTGACATTTCAGCAAAACCCAACTGAAAGTTCAATGAGCTGTTTAGCGCCAAAAGGACGGACACAAAGTATTTACAAATCTATTAGTTTTTTAATTAAAAAACATATGATAAATGATTATGTATGCAATTCTTAAATATCTAATTATTTCCTAAAGTATCTATTACAAAATCCAATAATTTAATTTTCAGAATAATCCCCTAAAATTATTAATAATCGGTACAATGACTGAAATTTCATAGGGATTATTCCAAAGGATATTTTTCACCTAATACAAATAATTGTACACTTTTGTTCATCCAAAATTACTCTACCTAATATTAATAAATGCATTGTCCAAAACTAAACTATATTTATCCTAATTAACCAACTAGTTTGCTTTAAATCACTGCTATGAAATGATTATTTGTAAATAAAAAGCCGGTTAAAACAAATTCTAAGCAAATACTTAAACATAATAAATGCTTTAAATGCAATATTTTACCACTGAGGTAAATGCTACATTCCGGTGGTTAAATCCAATTGATCTAATTTATTCCAATCCTACTTCACTGACCTCTACTAAATGGACAGGTTATAAGGCGTGTTGTTTCAAGCCTATAAAATTTTCGCCATTTTGGCGCTGACAATAGCGGTGGTGAAAATTCGAACTAGTAATAGATATAGATTAAACCGTGAGTATTATCACCAGACGTTTTTAATTTGGAAGAAAACATTAGTTTCCAAGTAACAGCCTATCCGTTTAGTATAGAGGTCAGTGCTATATTTATTTTCAATTTTTTCTATGCATTGCGATTATCAGTCAAATGTATCACAATTTGATGTAAATTCAGCGCTTGTAGCAACAAAAACACTAGAATCCTCATAACCTCAAAATCTAATATGACATTACGACATGTGTTTTGGCGGGGTCAGCCATTTGCGCATGTAGTAACAAAAGATGGTGGCGATGTATAGTAGAACGAGAAGTGCGCACGCGACGCCCAAAAGCAGCACTGACGCTTTGCTCGGGCAAGGCTCCACTATGGTTACTGTTTTCTCTGAAAATGAAAATACCAATAGATTTATAGAAGGAAGATCGAACTCGAATTAAAGTATTAAAATAGGAATATTGTAAACAAGTCTGTTTTGGCTAATACTTTGAATTTTTAACTACAAGTAATGTTTTCATTTGCACTAATTAGTTCAACTATTATTATATTTATATAATCTGTATTCTTACCGCCAAAGTTAGCTTCAGACGCTGTACCACCAGGTTTGTCAGAACGGAGGAAATCTGTGCTCTGTCTTTCATCACCAAAATCAAGGACAAGAATTTCTTGCGAGATGTTCATATTCTCCTCTTTATTCCTCGATTCTTCGGTTTCGTTGGCGGGCAGCGAACGCTTCTTTCTTCCCCATGACTCCAAAGATTCTCTGCCCCATTCGCACAACGCCTGAAAACAAACAATATTTTAATAATCAAGCTTTTGAACAACAAGAATAAACAATTTATTGTTTTATTTTTTACAACTTCTACGTTCGATGAACCATCTATTTTGAAATAGTATAACGGCCAGCATTGCTTAAGTGAAAAAACAGTCATAATAGTACATAGGGACAAGGTATCTGCCATGTTTTATTGTTCTAAACCACAGTACAACATACCATAACAAATGTCAAACAATTTCGTTCAACACCGTAACTAATACTACCCACACGAAATTTGCAACAAAAAAACCAACACGAACATTTTTTACAGACAAATTAAAACACTCACCGGTTCGCAAGGCCCGAGGCAGTATTTGACGTTGCATTGGAAGATAACTCCATAAGATTCGGTAAATCTAAAAGCTTCGTACACGGATTGAAGTGCGTTACCGTCTGGTGTGAAACCTGGGAAGATTGAAGGATCCACTGGACACCTATAAGAGAAATGCGTTAATATCTGTTAGCTGTTGCGTCCAAATAAAGTATACATTAGTATTTGATGTCACTAACCCTTCATCGTCGATGATCGTGAATGTGCTCTTGGAATCCTTGGCCATGGCGACGCAGCTTCGAGCGAAGATGCCGTATGGAGCTACAAATTAAACAACATTTCAATACCCATGACAGACAAATAAACAAATAACAATAATACTATCAAAACAAACGTCTTTTGATGTTTTTGTAATGGGATTGCGTTCCCAGAAATCTTTTGAAGCTCTGGGAAGCTAAAATATTTGTAGATTACAGTCAATCTTACTGTCGTCGGGTATTTCGATACGGAAGGTGAGACGGTCTCCAATGCGCACGGTTTCCACCTCGCGCTCGCGCCCGTCCAGGATGCGAATGCGTGGGGGAGGAGCCTCGGGTGCAGCAGTGATGGAAATCATCTCCGGGTCTCTGAAACAATGTGTATTTAGATAACACCGAAAAAAGAACAAAATACTGAAGGTATTGAGTTGGTATTTTAATTAAAAACCACTTTTTAATCAAAATATCATCGATTTTAAGCATTAGAATTGTGAAAAAAGCTTTTACTCAATTCATAAATTATAATGTAATTAACTAATCACAGAAATAAAGATGTACAAATAGTACGTTTACTTTCACTCTTTATTTCGATACAACAAAAATAAGACGAAACACTTTGTAACTACATATATATGAAGAAAGTACGTGATCCAAACCCGTAACATTGTTTCTTGTAGATGTAAATCTTGACAGGATATCAGAGTATTATAATCGTAACAAAAACCTCAGCAAAAAATCGCAACACGGATAACTGGGAAACAAGTACTTAGCAATATTTACATATTTATAAACAGTCGTATCTATCCAGTCGTGCCTTCGCGTATTAAGATGCACCTATATTTACAACATTACAAATCCACATAACGTACACAGTTTCTACTATTGTCTTTTAAATTCTAGCCGAGATGCTAATAGGTGTGAAGTGGTCCGTTATTGAGGAACATACTAACCTGATTGGCACCATTCCGAATGTGATATTCTTCGAGCTCATGTCATAGGTACATTTCACTTTGTAGATTTTATCCGCTTTGGTCATGACGACGCTGTGATGTTGTAGAACTACCGTATTCGAATATACACCAGTCTGAAACGAGATGTTATTAAAGTTAAAAAATCTCTGCATCTGAGTCTGAGACCGGAGAATCCCTGCTTTATTTTGTTGTGTTTGTTCAATTGTCATAATTGCCTTGATACTCAAAAGACCAACTTTTAACAATGAGAACTCAGAGGTCACATTGCGATGTTTATGAACCTTTAAAGTTAATTTTAATCCAGTGAATAATCTCTACTTAAGGATACTTACGACACTCTGAGTGTTACAATCCTGTCCGGCCATGGTGAGGTCGAGACGGAAGAGGTCGCTGTTCACCACATCAATGTTACACGTCTCCGAACGACCGAGGGCATAAATACGACCGTTGAAAGGCTTGTTTGTGCGAACTTGTACTGCGATCCTGGTGTCCTTGCAGTGAACGGATACTGAAAGAGACAATAAATACAATAATGCCAATGAGTATTAACAACAACTACGAATGCAAACTTTTGAAATAAATTAGTAATTACATTTTTGTAATCTAAACCTTACCATCGTAGCATGTGCCAGTTTTGTCACAGTTCGCATCGTTCCTCGTAAGGTTGCTTTGCACGCTGGTTTCATCTTGCTGGTGATCGATTGTAACTGGCAACTCTCCGGATGGACTCGCAGGTGGCTCTGAAAAAATATATAACATGAACGTCTTCATACTTCCACCTAGATATATCTAAATAAACGTAGTAAAAGAAGACTATGTCTTCTGACTATAGAAAGACTATAGAAGAGTTATTTTAACATTTGAGGGACGCACTATCAACAAATCCCATAAAACTGCAGAGGAACTTATTTCAAACGCGTCTACCACAAAGAATAATATAGAAAATCAAACAATCTATAATACAGACAGGTGTATGCTACGTAAGTAAACAATTTTCATAATAGTATCTAAAAGTAAAAGAATGTTCGTGTACCGCGTCCAATAATAGTCGATACAAGTTTGTGGCGTTGTTGCGGCGGACCATAGACGATCCAAAGTGCACACCGACATCGCAATTACACTACGTACGAGCAAAAGCTCGCCGCTTCGGGCAATTCTAGATTTTCACACGCAATCCGAATGCACTAGGCGATTCCGAACTAATATCCAGAACGAATGTACGATGTTGAAACTCTATGTCAATTCGAACGTATTATTATGTGGTGATTTACTGGACTGTCGACGCAATAATTGTGACGAATCATTTTAATGTCTCAAGGGCCTTTGATACAGACATTATCTCACATGCAACGGATATCATTACGTTTATAAATAAAAAACAAAACTATAATCATTTATTGTAAGTATAAGAGTTTTTTATTTCGCCAGGTACCTAAGGAGTTTTGAGCAAGATCTTTCTTGGCGTCCCCAATGTCTTCAATTAAGTATAACGCTTATGTAATCAAATGTCGCTTTTCGATCGTTAACAAATTTTAAAGTTGGTTGAGGGATTTCTGAGTTTGTGAGTTAACAATATAATTTGTTTAAAAACAAGTTTTGTCCTTGTTTTCTCACCACATACAAAAGTATGCACACTTTTAATACATTTGCTATTTATATTCTCAAAGGCTATGGACTTTCCCATTCGAGACCGTTTTTCTCATGACCGCTTTGTAACTGTGTGTAGAATTTACCACGTATATTTACTTGCGGCATCCTACCCTCGATTGTAATGGATAGAATTTATGTTTAGCAACGCTTCCTATGTGTTTATATTTTATGCCAGTATGTTAATTGAACAATCTACTAACTGTTTAGCTAACTAGAATACTCAACGCCTAGTCATTTGATAATCTCAGATATAACTGCAAGGTTAATCTACACCTAGATATCTTCTAGATCCTCGGACTCTATGTTTTAAATGTTCTGCGAGAATTTAATGTTTCTGTAATGAATGAACGGTAACCTAAGTAAGCGAAATTATAGTCTGGTTTTAATGCACTTTCATTACATTTTCCTGTTGCATTTATTTAATATCCGTGCATTTTTACTGTTTTCTATTTAGTTATTGGTCTCTTATTTTTAGTAACTTTTTTGTTTTGACGTTAAGTATTTAGGGAAGGTGTACGCTTATGCATGTCCGAAAATTTATTGTAATTTTATTCTTAAAATTTGTTATCTTATTGCGAATTTAAAAATATACATACTTAATGTTGAGTCAATACACGCAAGCTGCCGATTCGATATGACCATTTAGGTGACTGACCGCTTGATTCGGACAAAGTTTTGACTCGACCACAGGTTTGCCAAATATTTATTCGCCAACATTTAACTTCTAACATGGGCTTCGTTTATATTTTTGGTATACAATAAAACAAAACAAAAACTTCGACAATTTTGTTGCTACTTGTATACATGAAGCGAATTTCGTAAGAATTCTAAAACTGTCTGCCAAGATTTAGATAATTTAAAAGTATGATTTTATAGCTCTTAATGTCTGTCGTGATTCAAATCGATGCATTAAGTAAAAGATAAATTATATTCTATCTATCGAGTACGACCGGCTTTGCTAAATATATCTCTCGATAAATCTTGATCACTTCACCAACGATACAAGTACAAGAATTATCATTAAGACGTCCTGCTTACATTTATTAAATTACAGCTTTTACAATAAGATTACTTGAAAAGATTTGAAACTATTGCTATTTCCATAAAAAAGACGATTTTAAATTATTTCGCTATTAAAGAGCTACGTTATCAGTGAGTAACATAGGCTCTATTTTTTAATATTTTACGCAGTAGTTTCTAATAGAACGCACTTCTATCAACGATTAATACTAAATCAAACTACTAGTACTAATTCAAATATTTCTCAGTGAGAAATTTAATTATTGTTGAGTTAATGAAGTATTGATAATGTTGCATAGTTTTTAAGCGTGTAAAGCAAAAGTTTTTGCACGACTACGCATCAATAGACAAGAGAATTCTCACGTTAGTTAACTGAGAAAGAGGATGCAACAAGCAGGTGTAGATTGCCGATTAAAATTCCAATGATATTTATTAATAATACAAAATTGTAACAATTCTATTATCAGCTTCATTTTATAAGCTTCTAGGTTTTCGACATATCGGAGATTGACACAAAGATGCAATGAACTGAAAACCATTTGAAGTAGACTCTACTATTGATAACTATTCTTATACAGTGTTTGTAATCAAGTCCAGTAGAAACAAGAAATTATAACAACTCTATTACAACATTTAACTCTTAAAAATACATGTTTGTTTTATCGATTTACAAAATTTCATAAATCTATAGTCATTAATGACGTTATCAGCTATCAGCTAGTTTGTAAATATAATTTCTCATTTCTTTTAGATTCGTCCATACATGTATTCATCATATCAAAAATTTGATATAACAAAGTCATATTAATCAATCATTCAATCCAAAATTAGAATAACAATATCTTATTATCGTTTCGACAACAGTTAATAAGTTCAATGAAACAGTTCGAACGTCTATTACGTATTCAGTAGACATAATTAGTTAAGTATCAACAACAAAAACGTCAATTCGATCACAGCGGGGTACGGAATGAGGTATTTCAACGAAAATGAATAAAAAAAGGTCTATAGAAGAGACTAGCGTTGTATAGGCGATAACGGTGCTATTGGGTATCGTAGTTTTGTTGGCAAACCAGTCAGATCACCGCTTAGATTATCCAGCGTGCCCACATTAAACCTGGTAATCGTTTTTACTCAATGTCACATCAAGGAGCAATCTATCATCCATATTTCTTGATACTTTTTGTCACACTGTCACCTATCGTATACTTAAAATCCGTTATCTAAATAAGTAGTGATTATAGGAGTCAAGGACGAGAATTTAAATTGTCTCATAATGTCTTTTTATACTACTTAACTTACATACATCATACAAGTGAATCATTTATTTTAAGTTGATTTTACTCATGCGTACACACAACACTCATGCCCGTACATTAAAATAAAAATATTATTTTGTACAAAAATAGACTCTTTTGAAGCACATTTCTTCTTTAAATTTCTGATATATCCGATATCAAAATTGTCACCAAAGTAATACTATAACCTCTAGACTGCTAATGCCCAACCATTCCTCAAAATAAGTAATTCGTTTCCAACAACGGTTAGGTTTTACCTAAGTTATGTCAGTAAAGTTTATATTTAGTGAGAAACCTTTCTAAGAATATTTAGGGGGTGGTTGGTTAAACCTGAGAATATAATCTCATCTTAAAAACAAATTTATTACTTATTAAAAAGTCATAATAATAATTTAGATTTATAATAAAAACAACATTGTTCGTTACATGTATGTTACAAAATGAATAAAATGTTGCGTACCTCAATGCGGTTTTTTAGCTTGTAGCGCGGCCGGTGACCGGCATTGAGTCAAGCGCAAGGTCACCCCAGTCGTATTGTGCATTAAAAACGCATCCAGCTATTAATAACTATTAATAGTTGCTTAACAAACCGTAACTTGATGTAAGCGCTTTGAGCAGATGCATACATTACTCGGAACAATTTTAATTAAATACACTTCATGTTGCATCTGATCAACTCTTGCAATTTTATGTTTCGAACTTGTGCATGGTTATCTTTTTTGGTATTTTACATTAGATTTAACATGTATTGTTAAGGGTGTTTCTTTCAGGTTAATTCAATTTATTTTAAGGAAACGTTATAAGTGTTTAAAATAAAAAATATCTAAAAACTTAAATTACAAAAAAGTTATTGAATAATTTTCAATTTAGATTCCGACTATAATTTTTCCATTACTTGTAATGAAATTATTTACCAAAAAAAGCGTATTATTTATGAAGCATAAACAATAATTGAATTCAACAGAAAGTAGTTGGGAACGTATAATTTCGCTGCGTGGATTTCATCATTTTTTTTTTTGTTAAATTTTAAATCGAGAATAAGATATCCAATCATGTTAATCAATCTTGTTCTATATTGATATCGATTCAATTACAGATGAATTGGGCCTGGAGGACGGAGCTCTAGTCACGGCCGAAATAACAAAAGACATAAAAAAAACAACTATTCGTTTCAATTTGTGTAAAATAACCGTTAGAAGGCACCCAGCACGCACGGCTGACGGCGGCTTCATCCGTCTCCATGACTTTTTGCATCATAATGCAACCATTGTCGTGACTCAGCATTTTAATACATTGTAAACATAACCAAATTATGTTCGCGTGCCGTCGCTCGTAACTTTACATCGCAAATTCAATTAAATTTTGGCTTCGACTACTTTTTTATTCGATATTAAATTAGTTAGGCATATTTTCTATTGATAGGTTTTAAATAGGAAATATGGAGATCGGAGTAACGGTTAGAGCGGGAAAATACTCGGTTAGCGCATTACGTACGAGGTGCTGTCTTATTGTGAACGGGGCCGCCACCGGCGATGCTAATCTTAATACGATGATTCTACATTCACGTAATAGAGTAGCCGGTATGCAAGTATATAAAAGAGCTCTGCTATTATTTATTCGCGTTGTTCACTATTAAGCTTTGTTCTATTTCTTATATTAATATCGTAGAACATTGTTTTAATAGGCCACGTACAGACTATTTATTTCCAGTTCTATAGCTTACAATTATGCTCTAGGTGTTGTCCGTAATACGTTCGGATTTTAGTAAAAAATCTTTGTATTCTAAGCGTTCTTCCAGACTGTGTAGACGTGGTAACAAACATTTATCCATAGATAGAAAGTTTTGCATACATAATATAATTAATAAAAAATGTACTTTACTATGTTACCTTATGTTTAAAACTAAGCACACAGTTTTATATCGTTTTAAAAAAGATAGATCTATAAACGATGCTAGATAAGCGTTGAGTGAACTCGTCGCTTCTTTAGATGTAGAGGACTGGAATTTAAAAGCAAAATGGCGGTATTCGTACATACTTCAATACTTCACGTAAGTATCTGCTAACGCATCAAGACGTAGTTGCCATTCTTTTAAAAAAATCTGATAATCTAGTCATATAAAGTCCAAGTTCCCACGAACAGAGATGAGAATTTTTACTGGCAACACAGTACAATTAGCTACTGTTTAAATTGCGGTGAAATAACCATAATTATTCAGATGTATATCAGTTACCAATTTTATGAATCACTTTACAAAAGTCGTGATTGGTTGAGCGTGTAAAACAATTTAAGAACACAAGCTGGGTTAACGCTTATTTAAACAGTAGCTGGTAATCTATTTTCAAATATACCTAATTATATATCTACATCATCCGAGGCGTGCATGTTTATTCCTTTTTTATTTTCTTTATTTTTTTATTGAGAATTTCATTTTATGACTCGTAATTGATTCTGCAAAAATAAGTACAGTCAGCTGCTATCACATTGGCTTCAGAAACTTGTAGTTATACGCTTTCTGTTTTAAATATTAGATGCCGTATACATTCGGTACGATTACGACCACTTATTAATTTATTTAAACGAATATGTAAGTAAACCGATTTTCCAAAGTTTCGTATGTTTGTACATATTTGTGCAGCTTATTGTACCCACTTTTACTTGACCTTTAATGAAAATAGCTTTAATATGCGTAAGTTCTAAGAATAAAAATTGAAATCAACCCTAGATTAAACCAAGATCCAATTTCTTTTTTTTATATCTTTTTTGAGCGTTAAAAAGCAATAGATTTTGAAAACCAATACGTTCATTTCTATCTTATTTTCAACAGCTTTCGCTTTAAATTCCCGTTATACTTGACCACCGACGACGTTAATTAAGTAACTAATACATAGAGAATGTGAGACCTTATCTTTATTCATTTATTCATGTCTTAAATGTATGTTATAATAGTATCTATGTACCTAATTAACATACGTTTTACGGTAACACCTTTAATGCAATACTAGCTTTGGAACGCGACATCAGTACGAAAAAAAATGAAAGTAATTTAAGTGTTCATCCAGATTATGTTCTACATCTGTACCAAATTTCACCAAGATCGGTTAAGCTGTTTTAGAGATAACGTAGAAACAAACATTCATGTATCCATCCCTTCGATTACCTATAATACGTTTATTTTCTCAAAGATCAATCAATCTCAACATTCGCATTTATAGAAGTAACATACTATAGATTACTAATACCGCTTGACTAGAATAAGAAATATTTATTCATCACTTTATTTATTAAAGTGCGACTTACTTTACCATTGTCAATCTCTTGTATCCATTCTTTACATAGCTTCTTAAAAACTGTAATAAAAAAATCTAAGCTTCTAGGTTAAGATATCATAGACGTACGTTCGAAGCAAACCCATTCATTGAAGATTGTATTGACAATTTTTAATCAATCACACTAATATTATAATTGCGAAAGTTAAGACGGATGGATGGATAGATGTTTGTTAGAGTTTGTAGCTTAAACGGCTGAATGTATCTAGATGAGATTTTGCATACATGTAGAACATAGTCTGGAAGATAACATAGGTTACTTGCTTTCGTTTCTTTTGATTCCACGCGGACGTAGTCGTGGGCGAAAGCTAGTCGGTAATAATTACCAATAGCATGACGTCCGCCTTTTACGTGTATTAACATTTAATGTTTACATTTTAAATTAATGAGATGTAAAATAAAGGCAATTTAACTGTACCATTACTTGAGAGGAAATTAAACTAGTCGTCGTAATTCTCGCCACCGGAGTACTTTAACATAGAGACAGTAACTTGACGTAACTGTAAACTGTTGAGTTGATAGCTTTTGCGACAAAAACATCGCTGCATAGCGTATACTTGCATAACATTGCACTGATGCAACAACGCCTTCTTATAACAATGAAGATTTTATACATGTAGGTGTTGTTTATATACTAGAAACATTGTTTTATACTATTATTTTATATTTCATTAGAAGTAGGCTATTCGATAAATACTCGTTAATTCTATTTATCAAACATAGAGAATACAAAAACTTTAGGTATTATAGTTTATTTCTAACTATCAGTTGCTCCCAATTTCGTCCGAGAGGAATTAAAAAAAAAAAAAAATTAATAAACAATAGCCTGTTACTAAGTGATATTAAAGTTTTTAATAGCGATTTTTTTTAATCGGCCTTATAGTTTTGACACAATTTCATTGTTTATCTTTATTAGCTAACTATTTTTCACGATTTCAACGTACCTTTTAAGTATAGATAGACGTTATTTCCGTCTTAACTACCGTCTTATTAGCTATCGTATGCTGCACCATATACAGTGACGTCTAGATTTACTGTATGTTCTAAGAATGAACATTAATACGCATTTCATTCACGTATTACCTCGTACAAAGAACCATCCGGATTTCGCGTGTTAAAAATATTAAACACAAGTCCCTGCAGACTAGACTTTTTATCGGCCGATAGTTTAGTCAAACGCTTAAACAGTATAAGCGTGCCAATTACACAGATTTTATTTTATAAGATTTTGTCTTGACAAACCCGATAAAATTATCGCCTATGAATAAACTCAGTAGATTGTAAGGAAAGGTGACTTCATAATAAAAGAGTTTACATTATTTTTTTTATAGTCTATTCAGTTTAAATTGTCAGCACTAAACGTATGTAGTGGGCTATAGTTTTTTAAATTAATACTTCGTCCTAACAAAGAAATTCAAATATGCAGTTAAATGTGTTTGTCTAACGGTAACTTAACGTAATTAAAACCAAGTATTTTTAAAGCAATGAATGTTTTAGTTATAACATAAAAATAAAACCTCCTGAAAAGACAAAGCCTTTTTATAGCTTTTATAAGTAGAGCGTAAAACTTTTTTTTACATCAATAAAACATAAGCAATAAAAATGTCCGCACTACTATATAACGGGGTTCATTTTTAAGATATTATTTTGAAAGCTGTAAAACAGACAAAAAAGGTTTAGTTGATAAAAATTAATCCTCAATATACGTAAGCATAATGAATTGAATACTTTGTTGTTACAAATAAAAACCAAATTATTTTAATTCAGTTAAAATAACCATAATAACAACATCTGAAAATAATAAATTTTTATCAAAGTTTTATTTCATCATCTCAGCAACTCGAACTTTTTTATTCTGTGGCGCAAATTAAGCAATAAACAAGTTCAATTTAAACTCTATATTATTTCTCCATTACTCACATCATTCGCTCTCTGAAGAATAAGTTTATAATCTAAAAGAGCGTACAACGTTTTTTGCATCGAACTAAAGTCATTAAAAGTCACGTAGGGTTATTTTTAGAACCTAAGTGTCATCGCGATGTCCATTTTCATTTTACCCTGTGCCGACCATAACATTTTTAAATATAGAACCTTGCAAAATCATTTAAAATCAAATTTGAGATTTTTTTGTTTCAATTATGGTGGCCAGTTTTTAATCGGGTAACAATTTAAATATCGAAAATAGTGGCAATTTTAATGTAGCCTAAAGTGAAAGATTTTTTTTGTTTACAATATATAGAACCCAGTAAGATCTATACGTAAAAAGACGCCAAAAATGTTTATGAACTGTTATCATTAATTTCAAATGTCAAGTTTTACAATTATTAATATCGCTTTTTGTGTAATTATGTTTTAATTCACTGCGCCATAACCATAGAATAGTTGTTAGTAATTTGCTTTTGCAAACAAAAATTATACGTCATTCATTCTAAGGCAACAATAATGATGGACCATCGATCAAGGGAATCCAGTTTTCAGTGGCGAGTGCAAACAATAATAAAAAAGAATGCACATAGAGTGTAATTATAGGCACGTCACTAGTAATAGAGCTGTCCATTTTGAATTTTGAACAGCTGCAATAAATTTAACAAGCACTGGCATATTCCACTTCATACAATAAACAAAAAAATATTTTTATTACTAAAGCAATACGAGGGAACATTTATGGGGACATGAATGTTGTTAGGTCAATTGCTAAGAAATTATTTCTATCACATGTAATAGGGATGTACAACTAATACAAATAGACTTTTACATTAGACTTCTTAATTTGAGGTGACCGACTTAACAAATGCATACCGTGGCAATTGTGCATGCATATTAAATAATTAACTTACTTTCACAGTAGTTCTCGAAGTATTTCCCCGTAGGTTCACCGTCGTCAATGAGCGGTCTCTCGGCATTCAGGTAGGCGGATGGTCCGTCGGGTAACGTGTGATGATCAAGATGGTACAGTCTGCAGTTGTAGGCGGATGAATGAGGAGCTCCCAGGTATAAGAAGGAACGGCAGAGGAATTCCGATTCAATCTCGCAAGCTAACCGACAAGCTGCCTCTGACGTCACCTGTGTAAAGTACAAATAATCAAATGTTGAATTTATGTTTCTACAATAAGCAATTTCAGAGCATGCTTTAGTTATTGTGAGGAACTCATTTGCACATCTATATTATCCAACAGTTGTAAGACCGTATTTAAAGAAATAAAATAATTTTTAAAATTAGCATTTCATTTTAGCATATTACTAAAGTAAATCTCATCATTTTCACACAAAAATAATAAACAAAAACAATCATTAAACATTTCTAGCAGATCAAAACTAGTTACAATACAATCACACGTTATTATGCAAAACGAATATTATGGCGATGCAATTATTTCTTCTACATAAAAGAAAAACGAATCCCTTTCCGTCTACGCATCAAATGTAATGCAACATCCAGTCAGTCCACTCTGATATTTGAAAAAAAGTGCATCATATCTATATTAATTGCATGTCCATCTATACCGCACATAGGGTTGCCAAGTCGAAGAGATTTATAAATCTCTCTATTCATTAAATGGTTATTAATACGAAATACAATATGTTGTATACCATAAGTGGTATTTTCATTTCTAGGAATCATTTGTTGTATGGTATACTATTTTTTTTGTCTTTTCGCCTAACCTATACTCATAAATTCCTTAAAATGTATGTGATTCTATGAAAAGCTTAACTAATCCATTAGTCATAGTTTAATTGAAAATATAAAACATAGCTAGAAATAAATTATCAACAAAGTTATTATTCTTTTCGTGACAACCCTGGACAGAACGTTTAAATAACTTAGATACATGCCTGTAATTCCTTGTCGGTGTAATAATGCAGGCCGGCGTACTGCGCCACCTTGTCCTCGGCGACTCCCACGCGAGGGACAGTGAACACCCTGGACCCTTTGCATGCCTGCGATCCCTTCAGGCACAAGTTCTGAACAAAGATATAACCGTAAATTTATTCATAATTTTAAATATTATAATAAAGTCATACTCTCTCTACATTTTAAGATCATAGTACGAGTATATCTATTATTTTAACGAATTTTATGTACTTTTGTACGAATTTGAGTGTAACGGTGTTGTCAGAGTGGTCAAAACAAAAACAAGTAACGAAAGTACTGCCGCACCTCGAATAACGTGCCAACAATTTTTTCTACGGATTGATCTCAATTGATAAAAGCTATTAAACTACAAAAAGAATAAATGAAGCGAAAAATAGAACTCTGTCACGTTAACCTTTTTCACATTGGAATAGGACTTAAGCGACAAAATTAATTGATTGTAAACATTTTACTGTTCAATTTTGTACAAAAATTCACTATTCGTGGTTTATGACAAATCATTTGACCCAACTTTACTTTGTTTTTTCTCTAGTTTCTCAATCCCAGTATTAAACTGGTACTTTGCAACGTCCTTTTGGTAGTCCAAATAGTTTATTTTGAAATGTATAAAATATACCATTAGAGGTACAAAAGCACATACAAATATGTACCAATTGTTGCATTGTTTTTTATCTTGAATCTCATTTTGTCCTATTCCTCTGTGCAATAATCAACAAAGGAAGTTATCACAGGGTAACTAAATTACTTCTAACAGTTTGTGGTACCAGATTAAATGTTACAATAAATACTCACTTCGAAGTAGTCTGTGCCGGGAGTATCGACGAGTTGCACGAAGTGCTGAGCGGTGCGTCTGTCGGAGTCGCTGAGCGCGCACCGCATACTGCCGTATTCATACTCCGCAGACCGGCACGGGAAACGTTTCTATACAATGTCAATACGTTAATAGAACATTCCAGAAATTCGTCTTATTTATTCGATGAATTAATATCTGCAAGAATTTTCTATTTCTTTATTGTTATCCTCTTGTAACTAGTTTAAGAAACGAAAGATAAATTTACTTAATCAACCAGTAACAAGGTTTCTTTAATATGAAGGTACTTGAAGACTACAATTTACTATATGAAATCTATATAACACTTTCTAAAGATTTTTTAAGCATTTATAGCCATTAAGCAAAGAATTCATCTATACTATACCAGAGCTTTACGTAAACAAGCTTTTATCGTCTATGTATCTCGAAAGCTGCTTGAAGTGGGACAAAACCATAAAATATAATTGAATAGATAGCTAGAGTATTAACTGCACTGGAAGAGCTTCGATGGCAAAACGTAATTCTCCATTGCTATCTAATTCTTGGCTGACACGAAAGTCAAGCAATTTCCTCAAAGTGGAGTGATTACCTCGTTGAGACAGGCGGCGAGGCAGGCCTCCTTCGTAGAGGTGTAGATTATAGTATTGTCCAGGCCTCGCAGCGCCTTCCCGGGGACTCGCTCGAACGCCCAAGGGCGCAGGCACACGCTCTCAGTCCTCACTTGCAGCTTCACCATGTAGTATGTATTCACCGCACGCTAAAATAAAATCAAAATGAATAAGCAAACAACCAAGTTTATTTATGGAACTTTGTCATTATCGTCTTAGTTTTATTTGTAAGTGCATTGGTCGTGAGACGCAGCGCATTTGTATTTATCGCAAGTGCTTATTAGATGTCATAGCGATTAGGCTATCCTTTTTCAAGCTAGTCTCTATCGGGTCGATTTCCCCTTAGGCTTGCGACCGATGTAATCTACATAGCTAATCCGATCTTGACATCGAACTAATTGGCGGTAGAAATGGTCAGTAGCCGACTATCTATAAACGTCAGATTATAAATTAATAACCCCTAAGGAGATTAGTATGATTTAACGTTACTTTTAACTATGTGAATTTTATGTTTAAACTACTTTACCACTAATAATACAAAATTCAACATAACCTAAAATAATTGTAGTATAATCAACGTGAGAATTAGTACATGGGCTCTAAAATTGTAAAGAATAGTGTGATAATTTTAATGAACTTACCTGCGGAGTGGCCATGGGATTATTCGCTTGTGTGTCATTTTGTAGCAAACAAAGTGTTTCTTGAACTGGTGTTAAGGGATTGAGTACGAAACTGTAACAAAAATATTTATTTATAAGACGGTGAGAAAAATAATCTAACATCATAATTTATTGTGTTGTTACATCGCTATATTCTATTTATAAGTCAGTAAGATTGAATGTTAAACTACAAAGGGCAAAAAAGTATGGATTGATTTGAGATCAATTATTTGCATAAGAAGAGAGTAAATTCTCGTATGTCTACTGATGGAGACGTATGGATGAGTACTGTGACGTAATAGAGAGAAAGGGCAAGTATACAGATTGCAGTCTATTAAACTCCTATGATCACTAATGGAATCGAATGTCGTTTGTTTCTTCACTAGATTATTCCCATAACTTGTATCTATAAATCTATATTCAGCAATACATTTTAACACGAACATGATGCTGAAGTGGATACGGCGTCTGCATTTATTTAGTAATGACAGCACCGCCACCGCGCGTTACACTTACAACTTGCAGCCGCATAACGGAGCCCGTTTACCGTTCCTAACGCCAGATATTTCCTATTTTATTCTAATCCAACAACATAAACTAGGCTTATAAATATTTATGATCATCTTTATTTGGGCTTTTAAAATATGTGTAGAAGCTTTTCGATCTTGTGTCTTGTGTTTAGCAGTTTAGAAGTTTGTTTCAATATGCAAACTGTGAGGTTATATGTACAACTATTGAAATTAGGGTTAGGCGTTTATTTTGCGTCATCTTAGCAAATAATTCCAGTAGTTCAGTTTAATCTTAGTTTCTTCCATTAATCTCTTAAAACTTTAGGTATTACTTAGATATGCTACTATGTATTTAATTACTAAATAAACAAAAGAGTCAAACTAAATTGATTTAGACTAAAATTTTATGTTCATCATTTGGTTTTTAACATTCTTAGCTTTCTTTTTTCTTTGGTT